GGGGGGGGACACAGAGACACCAGGCAGGCCAAGTCCTGTCCTTTGGTTCTCCAGATAGCTCGTTATCTTTTCCCTCTAGAACTGCACCAGGGCCCACTTTACAAACAGGAGGTTTTCCAGGAGGCTCAAAGTTAGCTTTTTTTGGGGTCTGCACCTGAGTTCAGGTGGATTTTTCAGTTTGCCTCCATTTGTACTTGTGTTGGGTGAAAAGAGCCGTGCAGAGACCAGTGCTGCAAACTTCACTGAGGTTAAGGCCATGCTGGGGGGGGGAGAGTTCCACACGGCGATTAAAAACAGGCTGAACTATTATGTAAGAAAAAAAGTTTTTTTTTTAAAGCTCGGTAAAGTTACATTAGGTTTTGCAATAGAAGACACAAAAGCAGAAGAAAAACAGCAAAGGAAAATGTCTCTTCGAGTGTTGAGTGATATGTCTATCCTATAGAAGTGTAACCCTCCAGCTGAGAGACAAGAGAAATTAATATTTCCCAACTTGCCAGTGGTAAAAAGCAACAAAGAGCCACGTTTGCAAGCAAAGCAGTATCAACACACTCCTAGCGCACTTCAAACAGCCAGAATATATGGATTTCTATTCCCAGAAGACCCGGCTTACATGTACAGGGATTGTCTCCAGCACGGTGGGCCCTGAATGCCTCTTAGACCTGTTAGAGACTCCCGGCCTCAAAGGCACCGGCACTGAACTGTACCCTTCACTTCGGGGATCCAGCGTGGGTCTTTAGCCTCACTTCTCCTTGACCTTTAGGTACTTAGAATGTAGCTGCCCCATTCCAGGGATGAAGGAAGCATACAGATCAAAACGGGAGCAACTAAGGGGAGAGAAGCTCATGGAAAAGAAAGGTGGAGATAGAGAGGGAGAGAGGGGAGGGACGGTGGGAGAGTTAAGTGCTCTCCGGGGAGTCGACTGTGTTAAAGATTATTAAATGGGATCAATAACCAACAAGGTCTCCCCCTGCACAAACACACGCCCGTCCGCTATCCTCTCTTTTCCCTCCGTCCTCCCACCCTCCGTCTTTTTCTTCCCGCTTTGCACATGAACTCTGCACGTCTCAGCTTTTTCAGGGTCCGTCTTTCTCTTTAATCTTTTCGAATGTGAGGCAAGTTTTCCCCCCCCAGTACTTCGCATCCGCCTCGTCTTACGTCGGCAATTTTAAGATTCTCTTTTCAGCCCCGCTTTGCACTAACTTCTACTTTCCCCAACAGCAGTTTGCATTATTTCATTTTATACGTTACATATTTCATTCTACGCAACAGATGCTTTTAAACAGGATGTGAGCAAATGAACTACG